GGTTTAAATCAGAATTCCTGGCAGAGTAAAAACAGGGCATAGCAGTGTGCTGTGGTTCATGTCACCAATATGGTCTCTGCCCAGAAATCTCAGAGTTTGCATTCAGTGCTGAGAAATCTCAGCTGACACTTCATCAATAGAACTAGAAGAGGATATTTGGAATACAAAGCCCGTGGCTCACACATGGTACCTCTGTCTAGTACTTGTTCAGCACAACTAAAATCTCAAAAATCTTTTTTTTTCACAAAAGAAACACAGAACAAGGCAAACAGGTTCACATGGTTTGCCTTCAGAAAAAAGTATTTTTGCTCCTTATTTCAACTCATATGTAGTTAACCCTTTTTACTTTCCTTAACCTTTTTTAAAATTTTCCCTTTTTTTTTTCAATTTGGGAAAAAATGGTAAATCTATACTTAATCTAGAAGAAAGTCTTGACTGCACAGAAGAGAAAATCAAACCAGCAATTGAATTAAAAAGGTACTGAACTTAATTGCTTATTACCAAGACATAAACAATTCATTTTAATGAAAGATCCCATTTTCACTGCAGCTAAAAAACAAAAGCAAAACCATAAAAAGATTCAGAAGAAGCAAAGAAACTTTCCACACTTGCAGAGAATCAGTGTACGGAATTACAAGCAGTCCAATATTTTTTCATTAACTCCTAATTAGATAGTTCTATAAAGAAGAATGAGTACTGTTGGATTATGCATCCTACTGCAATTCCCCAGACACCTCCTGTATTGTTTACTTTCACAGAAGCAATAGGATTTAATTCTACAGTAATTACTTACCAATTTTCCTCCAGAACAGAAGTACATTACATTTCCTACTAAACAGAAAATGGAATCTATCAAGTAGCTGCTGGCTTGCAACTTACTGATAAAAGAGCGAAGGGAAAATATTTTAAGAGGTTGTATTTATCTTTGAAAGGTGCTGAATCCAAAGCAACTGTTGGATGGGAAAGCAGTGCTAAGAACTGAGAGCTCAGGCCTCTGTAGGATCAATATGAATCTTGTTCAATACTCACTGGACAGACTACAGTGTCTATGTGCATCAGTTTTCCATTACATATGAGAAATTTTTATATATACATATATATATACCTTTCAAACAAATCAAGTCATGCCTATTTTCCCACAAGTTTGAACATTAATCTTTCAGTTGGCTTCTTCAGCTTCTAATTGTAGCATATTCAACTGAAACCAACACCAAATGTCTAGCAATGCTATTTTCAAAAAAAGCATTCAAAGTTTTTCCCAACACTGGGCTATTGCTGGTGGTTGAAGACACCTTGTTGCCAAACTTTCAAGGTTCACCAAAAAGTCTTTTTTCAACGAGATTAGAATAGCAAAGCTCCAAGCCTAAACTAGTGAACTACTCTACAGAAGGGAATAAAACCTCAAAGGGAATATGGGATAATGGAAAAATGAAAAGCAATCAAGTGATTCAGTGAAAAAACTGCTTTAAAAGTGCAGCCTTGAAAAATGAGGAACCAGAAACCAGAGCTTTGTTGAGAAAACTAATAGTTTTCTTAAAACTGTCAAAGATTTTGACCAGTTTTAGCCACCCACCAAAATTTTAAGTCACTATCAGTATTAGCATGTTTTCTGAAATTTTTTGAAGAACTCACTAGACATTTTTTTCCCAACAGTGCCTTTTAATTAATTTAATTCTAAAATGTCAGTGAATCTGAAATTTACATCTGAAAATTTCAATTAATACATCCACTGAGGTTTATCTTGGTACACTTCATTTCAGCTCCCAGTGACTTCACAGTCATTTCAGGAGAGGAGTGCAGTGAGACCAAAGTCATCTCTGGAGGCAGACCCCCCTCATTCTTTGTGGATGCAGCAAGTGCACAGTGTGCTCTGTGTAGGGCTTTGGAGATGGCTTCTGTGGGCTGAACAACCCACACAGAAGGTGCATTCATACATTCAGGGTGTGGGGATCTCCAGGTCAGCTTTCTTGAAAGCCTGTCAGTACATCTACCTGAGTGGCTTTGGGAATAGAATGGGGAGTACAGGTAAGCTAGGTCATGGCTGCTCCCACCTGGCCCACCAGATATCCAATTTTTTTTCAACTAAATTCTTTGGTACAACTTGTACATACAGCTTAACTTTTGCTTCTAGTAAAAGATGAGCTGCCAAAATAGGCAGTGAGTTTCCAGAAGTTCTTGCTCATTGCTTCAGTACAGAATATGCTTAGAAAATACAAGAAATTATGGTCTTATAGACTTTACTCCCTCCTGAGATGCCCCAACACTTTTCACCATTTGTTTTCTTGTTCAGCATGGAGGATGAGCCCTTTGAGACCATACAAGTCAATTCCACCTGTAATGAAGACTGGCCAGCAGTAATTTTCAATGTGGACATAAAAAAGAAGTGCTAATTATTAGACAATACTCTTGTCAACAGTTACAGTAATAATGTAAATAACCTTTTAAAACACTGCATAAAGAGAAATATACAAATATGACATACATTTTATCAACTGCACAAGAAACAACATGGGCAATGAAAGCCTGTTGGTGGTACTGCCCACTGCAACCGTTGCTATTTTGAGCACTACTTACACTACAAATTATCTAAATCTTGCAACAGGACTACTATTTTACTTGAATTTAGCCTTCATGTGCAGTAGTATATAGTAAAGACTACAAATCATCATCAAAGCAAAACACATTGCAAGGTGACAGTTCAAATGTTCCAGATCCTTGCAATTTCTGAGGAGTAGCAGTGCAGGAGCAACTGTCATCAACCAAAGTTCAAAAAAAAAATCAAGCATGTCAGGGGCAACAGACAAAAGTTATTATTAAAATGAAACATGCCAGGAAGTCTATTCATTCTTTTTGTGGTCTACATTTGCAGTTGCAGCAACAATAGAAGGTTTGGAATATTATTCTAACCATAAAGAATTAAGACAAAATGCCTTTAAACTACAGAACAGTTCCAAATTTTTTAAAACCTCACTGTAATCTTTTTTCCCACCGAAGATGTGATCCAACTTTCCTCTCCTTTATGCTGTCCCCATTATACCTAAGTGTGATCCCCACAGTTCAGCTACTGGTACACAGCCCCTTCATTTACCGAGGCATTTTACGTCTTTCACATAGATGTCGAAGAACACACTAAATAAATAAAGCAGGTAAGGCACTGTTAAACTGATCCTTTCCTGCCATCTAGGGGACACAAACTGGTGTGCAACTGGAAGCAAGTCTTCAGTTACATTGAGGAAAATGTTCTGTATGAAATGTGTATCTACCCAGCCAAACAAACATCAACTGAACCGAGGAGTAGCACACCTAGCAAGAAACAAACCTAACACAAAGCTGCATTCTCCTGCCTGCAGGGTGGGCACACACACTGTGTGGACAGCATGCAGCTTTTCTAGTGCACTGTCCCCTATGAAGCAAAATATAGAATCACTCAATGCTGAAAGATCATCAAGGTAATTTTAGAGGAAGTTGAAGGTTGTTCTCATCCTGCTCTCCTCACTGTTGCCTTACAGGCTCTTTTGCAAGGCAGACTCTACAAAAAGAAAGAGCAAGCTCAGCTAAATGCTAAGCATAGTCAAATGTACACACAAAGGTCCATACAAGTTTTTTCCAGTCTTTTGTTTGGATTTGTTTTGTTCTTACTGTGAAAGGGAACAGTCCTCTAAAATAAACACCCTTCACTAGAACAAACAAAGACCCACGCTTCCCATGGCTGAAACGATGTGACAGTCTCTTTAGGATCAAAGCTGGAGCTCCTCGGAGATGAAAGGAAGCAGGTGTCCAGCCAAGATGTTCTGAACTGATGAACTGGCTACAGCTGCATATGATGGAGGCCCCCATTCTGCCCCAGTGAATAGACTGGAGATGAAATGAAAGTGACAAGGCTACACTGCTGCAATACCTCTAAACCACAGAGTACTCACAAACAAAAACCCCATCCAACTTCACAGAACAACTCAATTTTATTTTGCTGACAAATATTTTGAGCAGCTGTGCCCAAGTCCTCTTCGCCTTACTGAGACAAGTGTGTCTAAGGAGCTGGAAAAAATCCCTGCTTTGGGGATACTGAACCTCTTTGCCACCTAGACAAAAAATAAAAAAAATAAACAAATAAAAAGCCATGTGCCAACCCATTTACAGCAGTACAATATAAATGTGCACAGGACACCATAATTTCTTGAATTTAAGGTGATGAACATTGTTCTTTGTGAACAGCATATTAAACACAGAATACTTTCAAAGTGCAAAACTACCGGCAACATATTTACTACATTCAAATTAGCAAACATAATGCAGTATTTGGAAATGCAAAGACACACACAGTATTCTAAGGCAACCCTTAAAAAATATTTTGATCAAATAACTTTTAGTTTAGGTTCTGACGTTATTAAAAATAGGCTCCCCAAAATTCCATACCAAGCTATTTTCCCCTCAAAAATAATAATAGTAAAAAAAAATCACAGCAATAGTGCTGTGAACAAACCAATATTATCAACGGAAAACTGTTGCAGAAAATGAAGCTGTTAGGTGATAAAAATCATAGCATTTGTCAGGAATGTTTTATTCTGTAAAGATACTCAAAGATCTTAAGTGATACGAAATTAAAAGAAAACGTCCATTATTCTGATATTCTAATGTCTACAACCAGACCATTTCCTCCTATTCAAAGTTATATGTATTATCTCGGGTAATTTAGTAATTTAGGAATCAAACTATAGCTTTACAAACGGTTTTAGTATGAAAGCATTAAATACAAAATCACACCTTTTTCAAAAAAAACCCCCAAACAACCAAAGACCTATACATCCAGCTAGTGCTCTTTGTAAGTATTCAGGATTACATTCTGAATTACATCATTTCAGTCGGCAATTTAGATTTATTTTCAGGTTTATTTTTAAGTCACCAAACAAGACACATCATGCATACCATCTTTTTTTTTCCTTTATAATTTGCTTCCCTAAGAGCACAACGTATCTTATTTTCACACATTAAACAGCTGAACGTCACAGCAAGCAGCTTTAATATCAGATTTTAACCTTGCTTTGCATTCATTTTTTTTCTTTATGCACTACTTTTCACAGATTTTAATTATTTTCTGAACATTTTGACTTGACACTCAATGTAGTCCTAAATGCGACTTTTGCTAACTGGCAATAACACACAACTTCATTCAACCATACTCACTGTTTCCACATGTATTCAAAATCTTTCCAACAATTATGACAACATATTTGCTGATATTTTAAAAATTTCTTTACGTTTTATTTAAATAAAATGGAAGCAAATTGAAATTTACAAAGCTTAAAATTTTATTAAAGAAAACTCAGTGTGCTTAAATTTTCAAAACAAGATTTAACAAAAACATTTTGTCATCAAAGGCCTACAGTCAGTTTGTAAAACGGTTCTGGTAACCAAACTCCATGTGGCTTTTAGGCATGCTCAAGTGCAGAACGGTGCTTCTGGAAGACCTGCCAAGCATTTAGATAAGCTGGGTACCTGACTGCTACTGGGACTTTGTGAGGAATTGAGTGTCCACTATAGGTTTTGTTTGTTGGGTTTTTTCTAATCCTCATGTGGGGATTTTTGGGGCAATTGGTGGTAAGGTTTATTTGATGCTTAATGGTCTCAATTAACTCATCTTTAGATTATCTTTACATTTAACTTGATTTCCTTCAAATTGAATTAACCGTTACTGGGTCACTATTTCACCACCTGTTTTCCACATTTGAGGTGAAGGAAGCTAACTCAAACACTGTCAAAGCTCTCTGCTTGTACAAATAAGACCAGAAACAAAAATGAAGGCAAAATATTTTCTCTTTAACAGAATCTGAAAACATGTATGATAGTAGGTAAATAAGTGTCAAGATTACCTTCACTCTGAAGTTTATAGATACAGCACCATGGTTTTGTTTTGTTTATAAATCTGGCTTCCCTTTTTGATTATGTACTCGTTTAGGAAACAGCATTCTCATTAAAAGGTGACGAAGGCTCATGTATACAGAATTTAAAACTTTAGCAGAATACAGCAAGTCTACACATGACACTGGCCGCTGGGATTCCAAATTTAATTACCCATTTATCTTTGAAAAGGTATTTAAGTTCTAAATGACGACACCAGCACTTAGTACTAATATTTTTATGCACTGTACAGAGATGTATCTTCAAGTAGAAGAATATAAGAATGTCCTAGAACTACATACCAGAGAAACTCAGACTGAAACAGATTTCTTTTAAGGCAGAAGTTCAATTGTGTATCAGATTAAAAGCCACCACAATATTAACTATAACTAGTTCATTAACCATTTAAAAATTTGCATTCATAACTATTAATTCTCGTGCTGACTAGAACTCTACTAATGTTCCAGGAAGTCCAGCTGGAGATATGGTTATCCTTTGAGGTTAAAGCTATGGCAGAGTAAAGTTAGCCTAAACACTACTTTTAATTATTAAATAAAATGTGCTCATTTATGTTAGTAAGTTATACAACTATTTAGAAAGAGAAAATATGAAATATTGACAATGATAAAACAGATTTTAAAAAGCTATCATTGAAAAAGTTAGAATTCATATTCAGAGGAATTTCAATGCTTAAAACCAGATTCATATATGTTCATCCAGTTGAAGATTAGTGTATTAAAAAAAGTTAAGAAAATACTTTTGTGTTTCAGTTCAGCTGCACTTGATTCAAGCACAGCTTAGAGGTTGGCTGATATAAATTAAACATCGGTCACTGCCGCAGCAGCCAAAAGTACAGAAAAATGTACATGTTCACAGGATAAATAGAAGTCTCTTCTTTTGGAGGAATTAAAAAAAGAAAAAAAAAAAAAAGAAAAAAGAAAAAAGCTATCTCACTCCAATACGGGAGGTCATCCACTCCAAGCCTTGGCATAATCTGAAAGATAAGAGATGTTATAATTGGTACAAGTTCTATTCCAGCATCTTGAAGGTACTTTCTACTTGCTTTTATGTGTAAAAACAGCTACTTAAAATAAATCAAATCAACTGCAAATGGGATTGAAAGCTGAACAGAATAAACAGTGTTTTAAACTAAGTCTACTTAGGCTTTAGTGACATGAAAATGGTCATGCATTCTATCTTATGGAAGCTTGGCAGTACTTCTATTATTTTTCTTTGTAACCCAAAAGACACTATCCTTAAATACTTACACACAAGCACATGGAAACAAAAAAGTTTTTCTTTTTCTACAGAAAGCTAGACCTTTACATACTAATACTAAAAGATAAAGGGCAGATTATCCAGACAGAATTGTTTCATGAAAAGACAGTACATCAAGAATTCTAAAATTACATTACAAAATTAAAAGTTTACGTTGAATACTAAGACTGCATGGGATCTAATCTGCTTCCTAATCTACATCTCCATTTAAAAGTCTTCCATTTTAGAAGACAGACTTTCCTTTGATTTTCTAGGGATCTAGTTACCTAGTTTATACCCCTTTGAGCTTTACCTTTGCACAGTAAATCAGGGTGTGAGCTTCACTCACACCAGGCTGATCTCCCCAGATTCTTGTCAGATCTTCCCAAGAAAGACTCAGCTCAGCAATCTAACTCTGGAAATGTTTTTTCTAAGTTGATCTCACTGCTGTCATAGCTGAAGGTATTTTAAATATTCATCACTTTTTGTTTTACAATACAAGAAGCAGCCTAGGACGACCACTATTTCTAAACTAAACCTCATATTGATTAATTATTACTTTCCTTCAAATGTCAACTTGGCTGAAGATCCTAGTTAGTACATAACCTGTGTATTCAAAAGTGACTTCAGCAAAACTGGTAGAAGGAAAGTAGAGTTAACTCTCAGAACAAAACAATACACCCACTCCATGAAAAAGCCCCCATTTTGTTCTCACTAACATGTTCCACCCTAAGGAAGTTAATGCCACTATTCACTCTACAAGACACCTCTATGACATTAGACAATAATTCATGCTAGAAAGTGAGGTAGATGTTCTCCCTTCCCACATACTCAGTTGGATTCACTATTTTTGATGTCAGAAGACCACATTATTGTAAAGCTTTTACAACACAGATGAAAAAAAAAAACCCTCTAAATATCACACATTACAAGACTGCTTTAAAAATCTAGAAGAAAAATTAGTACACTTCACACCATACAAGCAAGATATTATCCAACTTGTTAAACGGAATCCAAAAATGTTTTTCGATATTTACAGACTAAGGATCTAAGACCAGCCCAGCTTTCCATTTTAGCAATTGTTGCCATAAGGTACACAGTTTTCAAAATTAGCTACATTACCCAGATATAGACAAAAAGTTTAATATTGGTAACAATTTTGTTTTTTGACAGATCTATGTAACTTTTCATCAAAACTATGTTTCAATGCTAATCAAAAAAACCCAACCAACCAAAAAACCCAAAACCACTTCAAGCCCCCAGCTTAGAAGCTTCCTGTAGTTTAGAATATAAAGGAAGAAAACAGTAGCTTATTTCTTTAAATACAGAAACACACAAGAGTAAGAGAGTAGCACAGAGAGAGTAGACAGCTATGTCAACAGCTACATACTTAGGTGGAGGGGTGGTGTCTGGTTTTTGGTTTGGGGTTTTGAACAACAAATGGAAGACTTAAATACAAATTTGGAGTTTGAGCTATGAAAAAACCCACAAGGTTCAATTAATAAAATGAGAAGTTCAAAATGTCCCTCTGACTGCAAAGTTCAGAAAATTTGAACTTTCAGAAAACCCACTTTGGTGTCAGCAGGCTTCTAACTCAGTATTCTCATTTTCCAGGAATTGCCATAGTAAGCAGTAAGCACTGACCCTTCTCCTGTCAAAGCACAGCAGGACTGGATGTGCCACGGGTGATCCTTTATGGAGCTGAGGGTGAGGTATGCAGAGATCTCAGCAGCCGTCATGCAGCCTTTCATGTCCTGCTTGTTCGCAAAGATGAGAACCGCAGCCTTCCGTAAATCCTGGGAATGATTCAGAGTCCTCAGAATGGTTATCACACAGAACTAAAAGGCTGTTGTGCTAACTTCATTTGTTAAAAGAACTGTATGCAAGCTCATCTACAATTACACTGGAGCATGGAATTTTAGCCATCTTACTACACTAAACATTCATTACAGTAAGGCTGAGAAAACTAATTTATTCTGAAGTGCTCACCACCACAGAGAATGAAATTGTAATGTATTATATAAGTACCCTTTTGGTGTTGACCACATGCTTGTACATAACTAATGAAAGTCTTGTCAAAATAGATTTTATAATGCTCCAAATCATTCAGCCAGTGTAATTATTTCTGGTTAAACATTCCAAGTCCTACAATAAATACTATTCAAATGGAAAAGCCTACTAGATATCAGTCCCTTGAAATTGCTTTTAACTTCATTAAAGAAGTTTCATATTGATTAAAGCAGTAATAATTTAAGAAAGCTTTCAGAATTCCTGTAAGTTTAACCCTAGTGTTCCAAAAAGGGAGCTCTAACAATGATGCATCAGCTTTAATAACTAATAAAAATTGTTTTGTTTCAGCATGGAATTTAGCATTCCAAATAGCAATGACATAAGAACTAGAATGTATGGCTTTAAAAGTGCAGAAGGGTAAACAAATCTAATACTCAGGAAGCTGGCAGTTGCAACTAAAAGTGTTCAATACATTCAAATGGATATTAAATTTTGAGACTATTTTTCCACCCAGAGAAAAAAACCCTGAAGACAACAAAGCTTTATGATCTACAGCTGAAAATTCAACCCTACAAGTAGTCCAGTCTAGGCCTACTAATTGATTTCAAGAGATGGTAGATCACAATTTCTTAATAGTTTGAGACTGGAAACTAAAAAACTACATGGGAAAATTCTGTCACAAGAAATAATTTTCCACTCTTTTTGGTAGTGAATTTACTCCTTACTATTAGACCCAAACTACAATTAATATTAAACAGTAAAGCAAAAGCTCACTTATGTGAAACACCAGTCTCTCAGAGAACTGTACTAAATCCTTTTCTTTCAAAAACGAAGGAAAAGATTTAGATTTAAAACAACCTTAATTCAGCTTCAGAGTGATCACAAAAGATTTTTACACACTTTACCTAAGCCAATGTACAAGTCAATTAATGATGTTTGAGTGAGTTTATCCAATGCTGAGCAGTCCCCAGGATAATACATAATAAAAATACAAATAAATAATTCTGAAGGAAAATTACCAGAAATTAATTGTTCCATAGTATGATATACGCTCCTTAATTTTAAGGAACAGGATTAAAATAAACAAAAAAAGTAGGCAATTACATTAAATAGTCAGGGCAAAGGACAATAATACCTGGTTACATTAGTAAGAAAAATAGTATATTTCACAAGTTCGACATTTGCAAAGTAAAGACTGACTTGATTACAATCAAGCAAGTCCTATTAGAAGAGTGCGTTATAATAATTTTTCTGCTTATTTATAACTTACATCATTTCAAAATGTGATCAACTTGAATGCACACTTATTATCGATTTTTTTTTTCTGATGGTATTATTTTTGTTAACACAGGAAACACGAAATGTTATTTCACTGTTCTCAACAAAACTATTATCCCAACTCCCCACCATACCTCATGAGCCAGCATTCTATAAAGTTCTTCTTTTGTAATAGAAAGTCGCTCTCTATCAATGCTGTCAACAACCAGAATGATGAACTAGGGAAAAACACCAATAGTATAGCATGTAAATACAAATTACAGAAAGCACAGTTTCAAGAGACCATTACCACAAGTCTTCTTACAGAAGACATACACTTTCAGAGGACACTAGAAAAGAAAAAGTGACAAAAGAGAGAAAAGAGAGACAGTGGCAAAAAAAGGAGAATTAGAAATCACTGCTGTAATTCTCCAACAGATTTGACAAATCACTTTGCCTTATAAAATTAAAGGGATTCATCAGCCATTGAAAATGACCACAAAGTATGAAAACCTAAGTCAATTTAATGCTGCTATGACTTTGAGATGCCTGGCAGATGAGGAGGAACAGTAATGGAATTATTCATATGAGGGAGGCTAGGATTAGCATAGTAAACAGATCTCTTTTCTTCCTCAACTGTTTCCAGCAGACAAAGCTTCTAAGTAAAGGGAAAGTTCTTCTTTCCAAGTACTACAAGGCACTGGATTTCAAATATACAAAGAACATCCCGAAAGTATCAGAAAAATACTATATGCATCTCTCCAAATTGCAAAATCAAACATACTCAAGGGATAAATGCCAAGAACTTATTGCTCTATACCAGATAATGCTGGCAGAAGTCTCTTTATCTTCATGTGTTTCTTAGATGTAGCTGCACTTTTCCAGATAAAACAAAAAATTAGTCTAAAATACCAAAGCCGAAGGTTGAGATGTCATTATCAGGCTTACAGTAGATATAGGACAGATCATTGATCTCAGCTCTCTCCAAGAGATAGGAAAAGATATAAAAAAAGGAAGAGATAAAAAAGCTAATGTTACAGGAGGATGGAACACTTATACAATTAGTAGTATCTACAAGAGGTCTCTGCTTTTAGTAGCAATGGTAAGAAATTAAGTCTAGAATATTTTACATCAAGGTAGATGTCTCAAGAAGAGTTCTCAGTGATTATAGGTGCCTTTTTGTATTGATAACCTCTTAGCCTCAAAAGACTGTCCTAAAAAACAAAACCCCACAAAAATCAACTGTTGCTGAATTCTACTCCAACCTTTCCAGCAACAGCAGCTTGCCAATACCTCATGAGTAGTGCACAGCAAGACCTTCCTTCCTCCTCTGGATAAAAGTTACGAGCTGATGAGCTTTTTAAATACTGCTGCCTAGGTTTAGAAAAGTTTCATTCCTTATCTTAATTATCATTATTTCAAAATTATTTCAGACTGGATGTACAGAAGCCCAGATGACCAATGCAAATCATTACAAAGTTTGAAAATTACATTTCAAAATTTTCTTCATAATCTACTTTAAAAAGCAAGCAAAAAATCTGATCTAAAATGTATTTAATTATCATTTGATTGCCTAGGAAAAATCTGACTTCACAGTTTAATAGCATAGATCAAACAACATTAGTGTAAAGTAGACAGAAAAAATACTTCAAATATTACCAGAAAGATGACTGCATACCAGAGATACCTCACACTTTTTAAACTTATTCTTCCTCATTAAAATGTAAAAACAGTGCAGCTGCAATCTTTACAAAAGTCTAGCAATATTCCTAATAAATACATATAATTTCGAACAAACTTATTCGATTTGCAGATTTCAAAGAACTTCTCATACCTCTGTGTTTGAATAATAGGTATTCCACGATGACCGTAATGATTCTTGTCCTCCAATATCCCACATTAAGAAATGAGTGTTTTTCACCACTATTTCTTCTACATTGCTTCCTATGGTTGGAGAAGTATGAACTACTTCATTCATTAAGCTAAAGGAAACAATATCACACCACAAAGACCAGTCAGCAAAATGCACAAGGCTTGTTACAGCTCATAACAAAACTTTTGTAGAAAAAGTAAATATGTGTAAAATGACGTAAAATAATAAAAAAATTAGACATATTTAATAAAAGCTATACATTTGAACTTTAGAAAGCAGTGACTGTAGTCATGCTTAAAGAAATCAGCAATGAAAAGCAAGCACATAAAAGGCATAACAAATGGATAAACATCTGTGTTTTAGGACTATCTTTCTAAAGGACATTGACAGACTCTTAAAATGCACTTGTTTTAAAGTAGGATCTAAAGATCCTAAATACAAAACCACTAAACTGTGCAAAATATAAATCAGAATATAATTTTATCAAAGCACTAGACTTAGTAACTAGATATTAAATCCCAAAGGACTGTTTGGCTGCTTAGCTGAAAATGTCTCTGTTCCACCTCTAAGCTTGCTCAAAATGTTTATGAATACATAAACATACATACATACATAGTATGCTTTTGAAAAACATACTATGCTGCTTTGATATCCAAATACAAGGATATTAATTTATCTATATCCTCCTCCTTTTCCACAAATACAATAGTAATCGTGGTCCTGACAATACTCTTGAATTTATTATGGATATTCTTTAATGCTGCCAAGATTTGGGTGCAATAATGCTCTTGAAAATGAGTAAGGTAGAACATAGGCAAGCTAGAATGTTATTTTTATGAATTCACCATCACAAATTTTAGACACTGGAATTGAGAAACATTTAGAAATATTTTTTGACTTTTGCAGAGTGGCTAGAATTTCCCTTAATTTAAAAATTGTGTTCTTTTCTGCAGTTAGTGGCAACAGGATTATTTCTATGCATACAAATTCAAACAGGTTTTCATGGGACAAAGATTTGCACTTCACTTTGGGCTTGGATGTACGAATTTGTTGTTCAATTTACAGTCCAGTTTTAAAGCACAGCAGTTCCTTTGCTTATCCTTTAAATATTTACTCTTTTGAGAACAACTCGTATCATTAAGGTACAAAGTGTGATCTAGAGCCCTGGAGATTCCACCAGGTTATAAAGCTGAATTTTCAAAGATTAAACAGTCACAAATAATAAAATGCAAACAGAAAAACAATTAGTTCATATACTTACAACTGGTAAAGAATAGTAGTCTTTCCAGCATTATCAAGTCCCACTATGATTACTTTATGCTCTGCATATTAAAAAAAAAAAAAGAAAAAAGGAAAAAAAAAGACAAAAATAAATTAGAGAAAACAACAATAATTATAATTCTGGTTAATCACTCTCCTTTATTGAAGAAAGTAACTGCTTGTTTTTCTTATTTCAATACTTCACCACAGATTAGTGGAGACTTCAGGACAGAAAAAAAAAAGCCAAACAAGGTCTCGTCTTCACTTGAGACTCCAGTCTCAGGAAATGTCAGCACTGCACATCTAATAAAGGTTTGGTTACTAATGATTACTTTATCTATAATATCTAGTTTTAGAAAGAAAAGTACAATTAAAAATATAATCCATAGCAGTGTATCACATTAAGAATACCAACAAATACCCTAAGACTGTAAAATATATTACCCTAACATTCAAGGATCAATAATAAACCTTTGTTAAGGTGCCATCATTATTCACACAGTAAAACCTAAGAGGAAACTGTATTTTGAATAGGCCACAGACTCTAACTCTGCAACTTCTGAACTGAAAAGCCACAGAATAATAGAATGGCCAAGGCTGCAAGACACTTCTGGAGGTCACCTGGTCAAACCTCTTTGCCCAAGCAGGCCCACAGAGCCAGAAGCCTAGACAGCCACTGGCCCATGCCCAGATGGGTTTTTAATATATCCAAGATGGAAACTCCACAGCCTGAGTCATTGCCCAGTCACCCTCACAGTGAAAAAGTGTTTGCTGATGTTCAGAGAGAACGTTTGCATTTCAGTTTGTGCCCACTGCCCAGTCCAGTAATTGGGCACCACTAACACAAGTCTGGCTCTGCTCTCTTTGCACCTCCTTTTCCCATATGTGAAATCACCCTTGCAGCCCATCACTGGACTGTTCCCAGTACATCCATGACTCTCTTGTACTGAGGAGTCCAGAACTGGACACAGTACTCCAGGTGAGGTCTCATCAGTGCTGAGCAGAAAGAAAACATCATGTGCCCCAACCTGCTGTGAAGTCCAGCACACAGAAGTCATCTTGCAATTCTTGCAATACTGTTTTTTTCCAGGCACAGGGGAAACAAAACAGAAATCAACCAACCAACCAAAACTAGTAAAAAAGTCCTCCAGAATTTATATGCTTCTTTGTAAATAATCTCTCTCAGAATTTCAAATCCGGTAGTACCACTTAGAATGGTGGTTCTTTTGTGTGAAGATGAGTGAAATGACATGTGTGAAGTTACAACATACTGATCCAATTACTAACAAAAAAAGCTAACTACTTGAGAGTGAAGAATTTGCAAATGGATTCATAAAAACTCTGTGAATAAGCTCACTTTTAAAGAGATAACACTTATAATTCTAGGGCACTTATTTCAAAGCAAAACATGGTTCACAGTTTAAAGATTTCCTACAGGCTACCACATTTGATCTACAGGATCAAGTAAGTTACTAGATCAGAAGATCTATCGCAAGTATCAAATTGATGATTTTTTCACCAAAAGTGGGTGGTTTAAGGAAAAATAGAAGTGTTTTGGTTAAAAATCCATATATATATAGTAACTTAGATCTTTTTACACTGAATATTATTATAATAAAGTGTTTTCTTGTTTAGAACTTTCGTAAGTTTTGCTATGCAATAGGGTCATAACAGATGGTAAAATGTATTTCCTTGTGCCAGTTCCCCTACTACTGCATCCTGTCAACATATTCTAAGGAAAGAACATTTCCTGGCTGTAAATGTAGGAGTACTTTTAGCCCCACTAGCAGCAGCATCAGTAATTAATAACCTTTCCCAGTACATAAATAGTATGAAATCCTCTCTACTTTCAATGCCAATAATTCATGCCTAGTAGTTGGACTGTCCATCTCTTTTTCAAATTTAGTTAAATTTAAAGATCTTTCAAAGGTCAACAAAGAAATACTCTCCCGTTGTTTTCAAACCAGATGTGGTGTCAACTATTGCCAGGAAGAAGATGATTCTACTTTTGCAGCATTCTCTTTAAGTTATTTTTAAGAAAGAAAATAAATTCCAATCAGGCATTACACTCCTCTCTCACCTGCTTATCAGAACACACCATCTTAGTCGTGAATGATTGGAGTGTTGGATGAAACAACATCACACTACTGTAAGTAATGAAGAAAAAACCTCCATTGAGATGGCTGCTTTTGAAAGCCATTGAAGTTGTGAATGGTGCAACACTAACTGGGAAAAAAAGGCACAGCTTATCTGTGTTACTTCATAGTCAAATGGTGTTTCATATAGTGATTGAATAAACACAAACAATTAACAGTCACACAAGTGTTAATTAACAGTGATCTTGGCATGAAAATAGTAAGATGAAATCATGGGTATTTCATACAAGTAGAAGACTCCAGAACCATAGTAATGGAAACTCTTCACTTATAAACAGTATCAAAAGTTGAATTTCTGTCTAGTTTGATGAAAATACAGGAGATTTACACATATATGTGCATTAGAGGAAAAACATGCGAGCTTAAAAACTTCCAAACTGAGACAGAACAGAATTTTTAGCACAACAACTACTTGTTTACAAGAGCAACTAGGAGAAGACAGATGCCACACTTAGGAGGAAGGACAGTTACTGGGTAAATCACAGGCAGTGATTTATTTGTGTTCTGTACTTACAGACTAACCCAAGTTTCTCCCTTTCACTGGCTGGTATTCAAACTCAGTTTAGGTTGTATTCATGAATATCTTCCCAGTCCACCATGTTCTTGGCAAAATAAGAAGAAAATCCATAGCGAAGTTGAGAGAGCAGAAGAGAAGAGTCTTTATTAATTATGTAGAAAGAGGGAGGGAAGACGGGGAAAGTGGAAGAAGTAGGCATATGCAGGGGAAAAAAGAAAAGACAGTATTAGACTACTCCTTAAAAGAATCCAAGGACTTCTTGGTTTCATCAACCATTTCTAGCACACTGTTTAAAAAAGTTGATATGTAATATGGTTTAAAAATCTCTGGCAGTTTAGTTTTACAAAAACACAGGACAGTGAAGATCATCTTCTTGCAGATGTTAGAAGAAAGACACAATATCTCTTTTCTTCCCTTACTCCTCTATATTTCTCTGTGGTAAAAGGGCCCAAAACTGAAGATTCAATTCTCCCAATATGCCTTGTCCTGTATTTTGAAACAGTTAAAAATGAAAATAAATAAACTCTAAATACTTTAATGATGAGACTGCTAACATATTTGGAAGAAATGACTACTGAATGGGTACCAATAGCTTTCAGGCTGTGAAACAAAATGCTCATCTGGTTCCAAAGAGCAACAATCCTGGAGACCTCAGAGTTGAAGACAGAATGCAGATAGAATTTTGCTAGAAAGAAGGCAGGAGGAACAGCATAATTCTGGAGGTCAAAGAGGTCTCAATACAAAGACTAATTCTTCACACTAACAGCTAACTTAGTCTTCTCTTAAGCACAAAAGAGCTGCTAAAATACATTTTGTATCCCCAAATTACAAGAAAGTAGAGAAATTGTCAATAACTTTTAGCAGTCAACGGAACCAAAAGCCATCTGGTTTTCCAGATAATGGTCTCTCCTAACCTGACTGGGAATTGTCTAAGTGAAGTAAACTGTGGAGTTAGAGAAGTTCCACCATCTTGAATTAGAGCCTATTATTTTTTTACTTTTCTTAAAGCCATTTTTAATAACTGTAGCAATTATTCAACGCAACCTGTAAGATGCTGAATAATTACTGTTCCAAAAAAAAGTAAACCCCAGATCTATGAGCTTCTCAAAGAACACTACCACCACATAAAAAAAAATGTATTGATAACAGTCATTTCTCTTTATCAGGGTTGCTGACATTCACTTCTATTTTTAACTCACAGTTTAATTAAGAGCTATCTTGGTAATATTGATGGAGTAAGTCAAGCAAATTTTATTCAGACATGTTAACACAGGTATTAACTTAATGGCGCCACCATTTATCCACACTACTACATGTTGCTTAGAATAATGTGCCACTTGACTACTGAATCATAGCTCCAGTAGGTAATTTTTGAGGTCTGATTTTTTTAAACTTCTAAAAGTAAGTTACTAATAAAAGTAAATTCAACTGAACTTACGACATTTAGTAACTAGACTTTAAACGGCTACAGAGAATATTAAATTAAATTAAACTAAATTAAAGCAATACTTGAGTAATGTTTTTTTGTCAATTAAAAAAAAAAAGGAAAAATTATCAGGAAGCCATTAGAAAGTCATGTAGAAAAATGACAAAAGTCTGTTTTAAAGACAACTGTTTCTTTTATGAGCAAAAGTATTTCTACTTCAGTTCACATCATTCAATTACTACTTGATTGTGAGACAATATATATTGAGAGCTGGAAGACTTAAGCACACCTCATCTCCCATGCTCTACTTGGTAGAACACAGATGAAATTTTCAAATCTTTGCTTAGTTTCACCTTTACCTTTGCCAGTCTCAAGTGCTGCAGACTATCACACAACTCACACCAGCCATGAGAACTGACGCCATGATCCTCACACAGCGGACTCTATTTGCATCTTTAGGATACTCCCTCTGTACGCCAAAATCAATGTGTAAATTACTGTCCTAGTCTGCTCAACAAGCAGCTTCACAGGACAGCCTGTGAATTCTCCAAGGAATCATCAAAGATTTGATGTAACTAGAAAAGCAACCAAAATCAAACCAAAAATTACTATGCTTTATTATTAGTAATGATATTATTTTGAGAAAATGGGTGTGTAGTTGGAGAATAATTTCCCATTAGGTCAAAAATTTATGTTTGAAGCAAATTTTCTAGATTGAAATTTCAATTTTGGCCATGAAATGAAACTCATTTTCTTTTCTGTGGTTACACAGGAAGAAGAAGTAAAAAAAACCAAAACAAAATAAAGCAAAAATGAAACAAATGACAAATCCAGCACTAAACTCAGATCAGAACACACCCTTAAAGTCTCTTATTGAGATAAATGCCAAAGAGTAAATATTTCATGGTATTATCTCATCTATTTAACTGTGAGACTAATTTTTCATTAACCATCTAAGTATATGAATGCATTAGGTTTGCAATGCAATACTTTGATAGTGGAGAGGGCTACACAGCGTTTTCTGTGAAAAATTCCTAGATACTTCTATGTTTATGCAGCCAATGCCATCAGCAACAGGTATAATGGCTCTGGGATAACATGTGGGATAAGATGGGAAAAGGTTATTGCACAGGTGTAGTTATGGACAGAGAAGAGTGAGAATATGCGAGAGAAACAACTCTGCTGACTCCAAGGTCGGTGCAGAAGGAAAGGGAGGAGGTGCTGCAGGTGCCAGAGATCCACTTGCAGCCACAGAGGCCCATGGGGGAGCAGAGATCCACCTGCAGCCCTTGGAGGACCCCATGCTCGAGCAGGTGGATCCCAAAGGCAGCTGTGACCCCACTGGACACTCATGCTGGAGCAGGATCCTGGCAAGAACCTGTGGAGCATGAGTCCACTCTGGAACAGGTCTGCTGGCAGGTTTGTGACCTTGTGGGGGATCCACGCTGGAATGGCCCGTCCAGGAAGGACCGCACCTCGTGAAATAGACTCATGCTGGAACAGCTGGTGAAGAATTGTAGACTTGGGAAGAACACACATTGGAGAAGCCCATGGAGGACTCTCCCATGGGAGATCCCACACTGGAACAGGAGATGCAGACACCCCCATAAGGAAGAAAGACTGGCAGAGACAACATGTGATGAACTGACCACAGCCCCCATTCCCTGTTCCCTTCTGCAGGGAGGTGGTAGAGAACCAAAAATAAAGCTAATCCTGGGAAAAAATGAGGGAGGAGTGGAGGGCAAGTGTTCAGAAGATTTGGTTTCATTTCTCATCAACCTGCTCTGATTTGACTGGTAATGAATTATATTAATTTCAGAAATTGAGTCTGTTCTGTCCATGATGGGAACTGGTGAGCGATCTCTCCCTGTCTTTACCTCAGTCCAGAAGCCTTTTGCTGTGTTTTCCCTCCCCCTGTCCAGCTGAGAAGGAGAGTCATAGAGATGCTCTGGTGGGCATCTGGCATCCAGCCAGGGTCGTTCACAATGAAGAACAACTTTTCTTCCGGGAAATATTATACAATAACCAAGACAATGTGTTTTCCTGAAGATAAATATTTACTTCATAAGCTACTATAGAGTCAAACACTATATGCCACCAGTTATCTCCTTATAGATCTCTTTGGAGCCTTTGGAATACTTCATGGAAGAAAAGGAGTTGCAAATTGCACTGCTTGAGGAAAACAAAAAAGGGTACTTAATATTTTCCTGGAGGATAGGGGAAACATTGAATCTTGCCAAACAGGTTTGACAGTTCAGGAAAATAAGAAATCAGCAAAAAATTCAGAAGACTCTGTTAGAAGACTTCAGGAATGATGTGGTAGGATGGTGTATGCATGAGAAAAATAAATGATCTGAGATTGGATCCCAATCCCATCCCATGAAAGACAGTTTGATACACAGATGTCAATATGCAGACACACAGAGGCTTTGCTCTGGTATCTACAGAATTAGAACAGGTTACGTGCAATCACAGGGACAAAACTATGAAAGTACACCAGGTGCTTCTGCCTCCAAAAACTTGCAACAGAGCATTGCACAAAAAAAGGCTTATCTGCATTTTCAGTAACTTTAAAGTGGAAATGAGGTACACATTTGGAAACTCGATGAGAGAACAATTAATGAACTTATTATTTATGTTTTACCTTGAGGCCCTGAGCTTGGAGCAGGAAAAATTATGTTACTATTAACTATTTGATTTTCTAACCAAAGATAGCTAGGTAAAAAAAAAATAATTTAAACAAATAAATTAACAGATAAACCCGATAAACAGATAAAATAATTTTCTACTTTTATGATAACCGTCTGAGGTAAAGGCGGTGGCAGATGCAAGTTCTGGATTCTGGATTAGAACATGAGCCATGATTGTGGGACTGGATGAACTGGGCAGGAGTGTATGGAAAGCGATACTATCCCCTTACGACCTTTTTATTTTTGGCTAGAGAACTGATTTTCTTGGTTCACTAACTGTATTTAACCAGCACCTTTGCCAAAACACAAACAGATCTTTACCTCAAAGGCCCCTACATGTTTGGCGTTCTTCCTTTCCTTTTAATAAAGACTAAAATAACATGATTTTAATAACAGAGCTCGACTTAAAAAGGAGGATCGGCGAAGCCAAGACGGACCGTCATCGTCCATCAAAGCCTCAGGAGTCCCGGCCGCCGGGGATGCCGGGCACGCAGCCCTGAAGGGCTCCCGGGGCACACGACGCGTTTAACGCGGCCGGGGAGGAGCGGAGAGGAGGGACCACCTCGGCAACTCAAACAAAGCGGCCCCGAGCATGAGGAGCCGCGGGACCAGCGCTCACGGCGCGGCACAAATCCCAACTTTTGGCTGGGCGGGCCTTCAGGGGAAGCCTGGCGAGCGGAGCCGGCCCCGAGCCCCCACGGCTGCCCGCGGCCCCCGCAGCCCCGCGGGCTCCACTCGCCGCCCGCCCCGCCGCCTGCTCGGGCCCGCGCGCCCACCTTGGCTACCGAAGAGGCTCCACAGCTTGGCGAAGATTAGGCCCATGCCTGGCCTCGGCTTCCCACCGAGCGCCCGGGGCACTCCGAGCTCACCCAGTCGGCGGCGGCGGCGGAGGTGAAGGATCCCCCAGCTCCCTCGGCGGAGGCTCCCGCAGCGGCCCGGGCAGCGCCGAGCGGCGGGCGGGCACACGGAGGGGCGGGCACGCGGCACGGCCCCGCCCCGCCCCGCCAACGGCCGCACGGCCCCGCCCCGCCGCTGCGGCGTCATGGCGGCGGCGGCTTCGTGTGTGCGGGGTGGCGGCACGGCAATGAAAGCCCAGGGGTCTGGTGTCGGCACTGTCGGGAGGACGGAGCCGCCCCGCAAGGGACTAATGCCGCCAGGAGCGCTAGGCCTCCGCCGCGGTGGTCGGTGCCTTTGCCGTCCCCGTGTCCGTCAGTCCGGCGGTGCTGTGGCCGCCCCACGGCCTCTGCCGTTGGGAAGGGTTGAGGGTTTCAGGGCAGGCGGTACTCTTGTGTATATCAAAACTTGTGGAAGCAGCGAATTCGCTTTCAGGGCTGTGCAGCAGGTTCCTGTACCGAGAGCTCTTGCGTGGGTACCCACCGGGTTTCCTCAGCAGCACCTTGGTGAGGGGCAGTCAGTGAGCACGGCCCCGGCTCCGTCCTAGCGAGCGAACCCGCGGGCACTTAGGTGCAGAAGAGGTGGAAGTACAAAGCCGGTCGGCAAAATTTCATAGAACACCCAAAAACAATAATAAATGAAAATGAAGCCATTTCAGCAACGTCTTGTCCGATAAGGTGGGGCGCCCCTTGGGCTTTGCTGCCGCTTTCCCCGTGCCGTGGTAGGCGCACTGGCGCTGCGGCCGCCCCGGCGCGGCGTGCCCGGCTGCCATGGCGACTCTGCAGGCGGCACTTCCTGCTGCCGCCCCGGAGGAGGCGGGGCCGGCGGGCCCTGGCGGTAGGTGCGTGTGGGGCGGTGGGACTGGCTCTGCCCGCCGCCGCGGGAGGGCTGTGCGCGGTGCGGCCCGGCACCGGTACCGACACCGGTACCCACCGCCCTTCTTGTGGCCGCCCGGGTCCGGCCGCGGCCTGTGTGTGCCTCGCCCTCCGTCGTGGCTGAGGTGGCGGCGCGTCCTGCTGGGGTGCGGCCGCCTCCCGGGTACTCTGGGCTGAGGCGCAGGGCCTCGGGGGGCTGCGAAGAGCTGCCAGTCCCGTTCCTCCCCGCTCCCTGATGTTTTCAATGAGGGGTGGGCGAGAGAATAAAGGAGGGAGCCCCATATTCTGCTCCCTACAGCGATGACCCGACTGTCGTTTTCCTCGTGTGGGAAGGGTGGGCGGGGAGGTTTGAAAATGCTGCTCGGCATCTCTATTGCGGGCTGCGTGTGACTGCTCGCACTGTTCATGTGAGTAGCTAGATCAAAGCCCTGGTCCGGCATCGCGTTCCCCGCTGCAGATTCCCACCGAGGCACATGAAAATCAGTGGCTTTCTTCTAAAGTCCGTCATGCCTTTTCAGGGGTAGGGTGTACGGCACAGCAGGTCTGGAGAAAAAAAACGCTCAGGTACGAGCCTTCCTCCTGCTGAATGTTTGAAGTGTGACTCTTGTACCTGACGGGGCATTAGGCAGTGTCCCTCATCCGCCTTCCTTCCTGCTGTAGCTGAATTTAAAAGCATCTGTCCCTGTTCCCCAGCCTGGAAGATTGCCTTCGAAATGTCGATATTGAAGTCACACATAGGGCTTATAAATGTCTGTTTAGTTATTTTCAGGATTCCAATTCTTTAAAAAAGTTAGAAGTGTGGGATTTTTTTAAAGGCTAGGTTTTTATGCTTCTGAAGAAAACCCTTCCCAAATGTGGACCACGTGGGGATCCTTTTTTTCCGCTGTCATGTAGGCATTCTAGGACACGAGCACGTGATGTGCCACATTTTCTGAAATGTTAAAACTGAGCTGTAGTGATTTCAGTTGTATCGAACTGTTGTAGTACTGTTAGATTGTAGTACTATTGTACTACTATTAGTTTTCGTGGCAATAGCAAGGTAAATTCTTGGCATTTTTGTTAGACTGTAAAAAGAAGTTAATTCAATTGCAGTTTCTTTCTTTCAATAGCCGCTAATGTTGCGAATAAGGCTTTGAAACTCCTACCCATGAAGCTTTGTCTTTATCTGGACTCAAAAGTAAGTCTACATAAGGTCACATTCTTCTAGCATTAAGATTTGAATTGAATCAAAAATATTAAAAATAAAAAATAAATCAGGGGTTTTGTATGATAAAAGTGACAAATAGACTCTTATTCAAATAAAATGAATACCGAACATTCTGATCTCTCTTCTCTTAAGTATATTTAGTACAATGAAAATGTATTTCAATAGTCAAAATTCCTTATTATGAGTGGAATAAAGTGATGTTCTCTCTTTCATTCCGTTTATGTTGTAAGCAAATTTAAATTTTTAGGTAGTCTCAGAATGAAGTGTATGTAATTTCTCAAAATACAAATAGAGGAGTGGACAGATACCATTTGGGAAGATAACTGTATTTTATATCCTACAGAGAAAAATGGTAAAGAATAAAATACCAGGACTGAGCAACAATAAGACTTCATAGCTGGGCTTTTCAAGAGAAATTAAAGCAACATCTTGAAATTTGCTGTACCTTTTATCTATGTATTTTTTCACCAGATATCTTGAAGATTTAAAGATCAGAAGAATTTCTGTAATTGAGAATAGTGTTGCAACCATATCTTGACCAATAGTTGGAAATTTGGATGCAATAAAATTTTATTATTAAAATAGGAAAAATCAGAACCAACAGCTTAGTTTGTGGGTACATCTTATGTTACATTTATAAACTTAGAGACTATGATAAGAATAATGAAAAAAATACTTATTTCAGTTCCTTTCCAGCAGATTTTAAAAACTAAAGGAAGATGTCCTTTTTCCCTAAAATTGCTTTCCAATATGAAGTTGAAGAGTATCTCACCAAAGTGTTCAGAAATAATGAGGTATGTGACATAGTTACGCCTAACCATCAAAAATTAATAGATTTTTGTGTAACTTTATAGCCTTACAATAAAATATTCACATTAAACGCTGAGTTTTTTATATAAAATATTTTTGTATTTAAAATATGAAATTAGTGTTTATGCTCATTGTCTCCAAAGTAGCATAGAAATATTTAAATTAAATTGAATATAAATCAGACAATTTAGATTTGGATCCCACTGAAGAGTGGATCATAGATAATTAAGCACATATTAACCACGTAATATTGACAAGAAATATTCCCTTACCCCAGTGAGATATATGTTACAGGCAATCTATTAATTCCTAATGCCAAGGATAAAAAAATTGGTTTTTTATGTACGTTTTTATCAGTATGAAAGTTACTGATTCATAGATTTGAATTTACTCTTCCATTTCCTTAGGGCTGGTCTATGTACAATAGCAGAGAACTCTCTAGCAGCTGCTTTGATACTTGCTGCAAAGTGTTTACACTAGATAGAGCTGTTTTTCCCATAAGCATTTTTCAAGAAATTTATGAGGTTTCCAGTGGAATTAGGCTTCCAGACATAGACATTTGTCACTATTGCACACCATGCAACCATATCCCTCAATTTCTATGGAATGTTTACTTAGTGGGATTTTTTAGCATTGAGCAAGAGGCTTCTGTGTGAATCTCTTAATGTAAAATCTCTTCTTTCACTTTCAGCTTATCACTGCTTTAGGCACACAGGAGGCAGAGAATAAATACCAATCTCTATTAAGTCATCTATCTCATCCACCAGCTTTTACAACTGTAAGAGTAAATACCCACTTGGCCCCAGTGAAACATGTGAAAAAATTGCTGTTTGAAGAGATCCAGAAGGTTTGTGCAATTTCTTTGTTAGGGCAAAAACAGCAGGGTATTTAATCTTTCATCTGAACATGAGACCTTGTCATTACTGGAAAATATACCTTACCTCAATGCATCCAGTGGTATTAACATTATACAACCACACTGATTTCCTGTCAGCATTAAACAGTCAATGAAAATTCATTATATACCAGTATCCCTCATCTCATCCCTCCAAGAAAGGCAGTAACAGAGGGGAAAGACATCCAACTCTTTTTCTTATGGCGGATCCAAACCCTTGAAAGGATTGAGGTACTGCTGTGGTAAATAATGTAAAGGTGTCATAAGAGAAGATGACAGATTAAAAGGGTAGCACACAGCATGCTTAGAACTCTTTTAACACTAAAGGAGAATGCCTGTATATCTCACTGGAAAAACTGTTTAGGAAAGTGAGAAAATTGGTATGTTTTAGAAACTGGAGCCATAGTGATGCCCTGCAGCCATTGTATTTTCTTGGTTTTAAATCCGTTTTTAGTATTCTATAATTTTCTGGATTTTTACTTTAAACATTTGTTTATCTCATAATACCATTATGTTTAGGAGATGTATTATTTTGAAATTGTGTCCTAGATCTTCACTCTGTCTAAAAAGATCTGGTTCTTTAAGTAAATTACTAATGCTAGTGGGTGTACAGGGAGCTTTTGCATGACAGGAGCCAAGACATTTCTGTGATGCAGAGGCAGTTGACAGTGTTCTGCTGGCTGGGATGGTAATGAGTTTTGCTAATTTTAGCTTGATCGTAGAAATCTGGAAATGGGTATTGCAGGGTTATATTTTGCTTCAAGGGAAAAGGCTTTGCTGAAAACTGACTTAAGACTAACTTTTCACAAGCTTCTTGTATGTTCAAGTGTAATTACATGCTAGAAAAGGAAACCACATAACACTTTTGAGCAGAAGTATGATAATGGATTGTTTCCTTTTTTAAGAGAAAATACTTACTTATTAGATGCAAATTATTTATGGTTTTACATGCTTTAAGGTTATATTTTAGAAGGGTCAGATGAAAAGACATAATTTTGTTTAAATCCAGAAACCTTTATAAAATGGCTTTTTTTTCCAGCTAAATACACAGCTATCAGTACCCAAACTTGGGCTGACAAGAAAAATGAAAAGTACTGCCAGCCTGGCCTATTAAGTAAGAAAAGCAATAAATGAGTAGAGTTAGAGTGGCTTATAACTAATAACATCTAAGAGTTAACAGAGAATACACCCAGGCTTCTAAGGTGGTGTCACTGTATGTTCTGTGTTCTGACAACAACTCAGCCTTCTT